AGGAAAAGATTGAGGAATAAGAAAACGCAACGCGATCCTAAGAACGATGGACTTGTTACAATTTTGAGAAGACTTCGATTTTCGTATATCGACGAATTTTCTTACCGGCATTTCGAATCCTTTTCGAGAACGACACGTTCTTTTTATATATCGTGAAACATACCAATAGGGGCTATTGGGGTGCGATCGTATTCCAGCCCCGCGAAACCTACAAGTCTGATTTTGTATTTTAGGAAAAGGACCTATGCATCGATTAGATGATTTAGAAGCTCGTTAATAATTGCCAAGTCGTTGATGGAATCCGTGTTAGTTTTCGATGTGTAGACCAGAGAAGGCGAAACGATTAGACAAGAGTTCGTTGTATAGTAGTCGATGTTTTGTAAGCTTTTGTATTTTTGTAAATATTCAGTATCGATGTCTCGTTCTTGTAGAAGGCGACAGCCCGGCAAGGATCAATGTTCAGTTAATATATTACTGCGTCCTTAATGTCACATGTATTAATATATAAAGAAATATACCGAATAAACGTGAAATTCAAATTATCAGTGCAATTCTTTCAACTTCTGACAGTCTGCTCATCATCTTCGGTTCTTCGTTATTTTCTCGTTAATTTAAAGCGATCTGCAATTTTCCCAAATTCGCCGAGATAGGGATTATTTTTTTCCTTCATTCCTCGAAATCGTGCCATGGTGATTCGAGTGTACCAGTGTTCGATAAGTTACCGATCAGTGAAGAAGGGTATATAGATTTTGACAGGGAGCCGGCGAGGCACAAGAGCGAACTTTCTCTCTATGCTACGTCCGCCATCACAGATGTCGCCATGCTCTCGAATGTGACATTTGGTAGCTAATTTTTCGCGAATCATTTGCGAATTATTATTTCACTCCCAACTTGTCGAATACTGTCTTTCACGATCACCTGTGCATTTTAATTTCGACGAGTACTCGTGAAAAAATCCGAATTCGCGAGGACAAAATTAAACGCGAAAATAAAAAGAAAAAGAAAAGAAAGAAGAAGGAAATGGAATGGACGAAACGAAAACGAAAGAGAGTTGGATGTGGAATTCTGAAAAATTGCATTAACGATGTTCGGGGATTCGTTAAAAATTTAGGACGCCAGCATATTTTTATATCGGCCTGTCTAAATTCAAACTGCGCGATAATTAATAAACTTTTAATTATTTTTTCGCGTCAAAGGACTTTCTATATCGATGCCATTACCGTGAGAAAAAATTTCACAATACATCGAAGCCCATAATTCGTTTTTCAAATGAGAATTATCGAGTGCAGTTGAACGCGTCGCCTGAAAAATCCAAGGGCATCATTAGACGTAATTGTTGGCCTTAATGAAACAAAGTCTTGCCGCATCGTTAATATCGCGAAAGCAGAAAGCAGTTTACTGTCCCGACTTTATATTTTCACGCAACTTGCACCAAGTTTTCCATAGTTACTTAAGCGCGATTGTTGCTCCTGCTTTAACCGATGCTCGAGGTACTCGTGCCTCGAAATTTCAAGCAACCAGGGGGGTTAAAATCCAAGCTGCCGGGTGAAAATAATTTCGTAAAACGCGTGGCCGGGGGACGAAGATGAGCGAGATGTAAACAAGCCGGTATGGTTTTGTTCAGAAATTTTATTTATTACATACACTAGCCGACTACTATGCATGCGTTGGGGCATTCGGATACAGGGAATTCGCTTGAGATCCGAAACGCGTTGTAAAGTGTGTCTCACAAACAACAGCGGTGTTCCTTTCGTTACTTCGTTTTCACCCTTGCCTCGGTGGAGCATGTGGTTACCTCGTCCCGTAATTGTTTCGTTTAAATTATAGTGCGTTACGTTACATGTTATAGTCCGGTGGATCTAAGACGAACGAAACCCTCTGCTCGTTGAGATCCCTCGTTCCTATCCAGATCGGGGGTTTGCTCTCGCGTTGAAAAAGAACGAAACGTGCAAAAGTGTCGCGATCAAGAGAAGTAATTGCTCGAAAACACGGGGTGCAAATCGAGACGATCGCGAGACCGACTGGTGAACACAAAAATCGCAAAGAGGCTCGTCCGACTTAGGGTGCCTCGTAACCACATATATTCGCATTTATATTTTTTTTATGTATATTTATATATATACTTTGTATTTATATATTTATATACAGTGGGCGGGGGTAAGGTAACGGCGCCAACGGGGCGCGGAAATCGGCCTCGAAGTGAAAGAATAAAAATTACACGTGAATACACTCGTGAAAACGTCTACTTTAGTACGTAGTTGCCCTTTCTCGCTTTCTTCTCCATTTTCTCCTTTTTTCCCCCCCGTTTGTTTTCCCTTTTGTCGTTAACCGTAGGTTAACCGTAGGATGCAAAACGAGAGACGGAAGACTTAAATATTTGCTCGAAAAATTTTATTCCCTTTTTACACTCTCCAACAATTCCCTGTGCGCGCGATTCGCGATCGATCCCAGAGTGGCGATCCAAGAGCGAAAGAATTAGCTCGATCGGCTCGCTTCGAGTGGAAGAAAGTTAGGTATCTGCCAGTCACGTCGTGTGCGGAATTTCGCCATCTTCGCCGGCAAACATGCACAGAGAATTAAAGATCCTCCCGTTAACGCGTAAATTGCATCCTACGATCAATTCTAATCAGCTCTGACCCTTCTCGCCCGTCCGTCAAGGCACCATTACCCTGACAACCACCTCACGTAGTTGTATCCGTAAATAAAGTATAATGCCTTATCGAGCTAGAACTTATACCGATATATTGCACATTTGACAACAGTTACGTCTTCTTTAAGTACTTGAGTATAGGAAGTGTTCGCTAATAAACATTTTCCGTTCCACTCTTTCTCTCCCACTCTCTCGCCCTCTCGCTCTCGCGGTATCCGCTAAACAATCTCACACTGTCAGCCCTTTCTCTCTGTCACTTTCGCATGCACATTCTCGCAACACGTACGCTTTAACGATCAATCGAAATACGCGGCTGCGGAATCTAACCGCGAATTTTCACACGATTTTCCAACTTGTCGTGAATCGGAAAGAATATCGTCTGGAAGCAACGGGCACAGGAGGCGTGTTCGAGGTCGGAGTTCGATGTGTCTGGTGATTCGTAATTCGCAAACTCGTCTCACTCGTCGCGGTAATTTATTTAGCTTGTCGTTCGTTGCAAATCGTTGGGTGATCTCCTAAAGGCGAAATGTTCGTTTCACGCGGTACGCAGGCATTCTCACGCGCTCTCTTTCTCTCCCTCACACGACTCACTGTAATCAACGCAATCACGATGCAGCACACACGCGTCGCCATACATATGTATATATTTATACTCGCACTATTTAAAGCGGCTATAACTCCTAATTAGTCGTTCGCCTGCCACTTGGCGCCGATTCACCTGCGACTCGCTCGCGCGCCGACAGCTACCTGCCGCGTGTGAGTTACTCGCCGAGTGTCAGAGGCGATTTTCGCACGCTCGAGCGTGGACACGAGAGGCAGTTTCGAGGCGTGCCCTCGAGGAACGCAGCGAATCGCGAGAACGAGCCGTTGTCGACTCGGGTGGAAGCGAGCTTTGTCACACCGCGATCGATGATTCGTCATTGTACTTGGCCGTCCATAGGCCACCGTTTCGTTGAATGAGGACCGACTCGAAGTAATTCTCGTTGTTCGTCCCCTCCGCGATCGACGCATCCTCCGCGTCGTCGATTAGTTCGAAGGTGACACGCGAAATGCGAGAATTGCGTAGGCCCAGCGCGATATCGATCAACGCTTCGATGATTCAGCCTGATCCTAACGATCGTTCCGTAATCCGAACGATTCGTATTCGTTGTGTATACACGTGCTTTTCTTATGCGTCGTCTGTACATCCCTCGTGTAGGTAGTTCCCATAGACGTTTACCCTGTTCGTCGAAATTAGACTCGGATAATGATATCTCGCGAAGGTTCCGCGACTCGGAGCAGAGACGAAGAAGAATTTTTGCGTCGACCGATTAGCGAGATCGCCGGGACGATCTGTTCGTAAAGCTTCCGACTTCCCTGAAACTTAATCGCGAGGACAGGTCGCGAAATTTCTCGCTTAAACTTCGAACGAGGCTGTTCTCTAAGGTATTGAACGTCTTCTATAATAGTTTCGATGATTCGTGGAAGGAAGGTCGAAACGGTGATTAAACAGAGGCGTGAAGCGTGCTCGACTGCGGGCCTGCAGGGTACGAGGTGCTGGTAGGCACAGCCGTGGGTTGTAGACTCAACTGCAGCTGATGCTGCTGCGCTTTCGCCCTCAAACAGGCGATGCTTTCGTTTCTCAGCTGCTCCGTGTCCTGAACGATTCCTGATAAACAAAAGATCATCGCGACGTTAATCACGCTTCTGACGCCAGTCGAACCGCGCGATTGCGACAGATTCTATCAAGGATCTATTGGCCCCTTCCTCTTTAGCTTCCTACCGAGAATTAGAAGAATCGCGAACGCGATTCGCGCGATCCTGATAAAGAGATCGTATGGAATGGATCGTAGGTTATTACCTGTCGACGACGAAGGCCCCATCCCATCCTGACTTTCTTGTCCACTCTCGGAGCTGGTCGGTCCACCTTGATGATGATTATGATGAGGGCTGCTTCCGCTTCCATTGTGATCGTTTCCGCTGTCCTCTCCGCCAGACTTGAGATGCTCCGCTGCTTCGATTGACTTCCGGTGCATCCCTGCGGGGCCACAGTCAATCAGTTCTTGATTATTTTCGATATCTTGACTAAAGCTGCTCGTCTTAGATGATTGAGCTGACAGAGACGAACAGAAAAACAAAGTCGAGACTTATATATTTTCTGCGAGGGCGGGGCATAGTTCATTAAGCGTTGCTTGGCCTCCAACAATGCTACTTCGGACAAAGCTATTCACGCGCGAATCGATCTTTTCATCTCTACGTTCGTTCTATCTAAATTCTAACACGATTTACGAAGTTAGCAAAACTTAATGCGTTCGTTCGTTGGAAAGTTTAAAGGGAAAATTTGGAGAATTCTCACCTAGCAACCATGGCGCCACCGACTCGTTTTCCTTGGCACTTTTCAGTATGGTCTCTGGAAGCGGTAGAGAGTGTCGCACCATCGCCCCGTATAGGCCATACTCCGCCATTATGGTACTTCTGCCCCAACACTTCTCCGTTTTGCGCCATTTTGCTCTCCGGTTTTGGAACCAGACCTGTCGGACCCAACGGTAAGGAAGAGCGAATAATGCGTCCGTAGAAAACTATGACTAATCGCGAAAGTCACGTGGAGCGGAAGATTTATTATTAGCAGCCCATTACCGGTAGGTGCGGTACTCGCAAATCCGACAGAACGTTACCGACCATACTTTCAGACTCACTTGTCCGTTTAATGGTCGTTGTCTCCTAATTGGAGCACTATGAACGCAACGTGCGATCAGTTTCATGCGTGCGGTTCCACGCTAGTTCGTAGTTAACTATTCCGCTTAAACGATCAACTCGGAGTTCGTTATCCTGTTTTTCGCGGTTCGGCGTCCCGTTAGGCTACTTGTTAACGATTCTGATCATCGGACCACCTACGGAGGAGTCGCGTGTCGTCTCCTCCCGTCACGCTCGCATCCCCGCACGAGTTTCAACTTTAACGAGCTCGATATCCGACAAGTTTCGCGCATTACCCTCCCCAAACCGAGGAAACTAATAGCAACCGAGAAATTGGTAATCGCGATATTCAGGCTGCTGCTTCCATTTTCTGCAAATCGTGTTCGCGTTTGCCGCCAACGTTCAATCGTCCAACAGTTTTGCCCAAAATTATTCCTCCGTATCGTTTCGCGTTTGCAACTTGAGACAGCGTTTGCGAGCTCCCGATATCAGTCGCTGTATCGAACGAGCGGAAAAACGATATCGCTGTGCGGACGGCGATGGCTCGTTATTTATACGCGAAATATCTCTTCGACTTTCGTCGACATCCCCGAGCGAGTCGAACGAAACAATTACGCGGTCGTTTAGTTTTGAAAGAATCGCGCGCGTGGTTGAAACTGTCGTTAAAAGAACACGAAGGAAAACACGATTCCCATCCCGTGCAAGTCGACGGACGAGCAATTCTATTCGACAACGATCGATCCGTCACGAGCAATCTTGCCGTAGTACGCGATCGGTATACGTGATCGTCGGAGGATGTTATTTAAAAAGGTCTGGACACGCATCATTTGCGAAACGCGTGTACGAGGCAGACGCACGTGGGGGTGGCCTGGGCCGGAGGCCAGGGCGTGTACCAATTTGTAGCAACAATGCTAAAGTCACCAGCAGAATTGGAACGTAATTCGAATGAATGGGAACGCGTTGCCCTGTCAATTTGCGCTGCCACCCCGAAATTATCTTCCGCCTAGGTTTCAACAAGCTGGCCGGCCTTTTTCCCGCGACCCACCCCCTACAGGCGCGCGAAAAATACTCATGCAAATGTTACCCCGTTCTACGATAAAGGACGCTTTTGTTCCGCCGATAAGGAGAGGAAACGGTTGGTCCTTTCCGAGCTTAATCCGTCCGACGAGTCCCTCGCTTTTCCAACCAGTTCCGCGCTAATTCCACCACGGAAAGGCGCCCCGACGCCACCTGTGACATTTTTTTAATTTCATCCCATCGAAATCTTTGACACGGACGTCGATCGATCGGGATGAGACTGTTTCGCGATTCACAGCCGGGAACCGCGTAATCGGACGTAATAGTCCGTCATTCCGGAAAGATGAAAGCGGAAAAGCAGACGAGAGAGTAGAGAACGTGCTGGAACGAAAGGGATTAAGGCTGCGTGGCGGAAATGATAATGGTCGCGCGGAACGAGAGAATCCTGTAGAAAAGCTCTCATTGATCGGGGACAGCCGTTCTATTCGCTGACGCGTAAATCACTGTACCGATCATAAAGCTGTTATTCGATTTCCAAGTGACTCTACGACAGCGATTGCGTTCAATGAAGATAACCGGCCCGTTCTCGCGACCAACGATTCGAATTTAAACGCGCAGCTCAACCGGTTCATCCAAGTACCCACCGTCTTCGAGATTCTTCCTCGACTTTCGTTACAACGCAAACAGGGTCGTCGTTCAGCTTCTACTACTCAGCGTGGAATAAACCATCGAGAAGTTCGATTCGGACAAGCATCATCGATGTTCGGGAACGGACAGACGACGACGACGACGACGACGATGTCGGGCGAGAAAGTGGGAAGGTGTATATACCGAAAGCGTGTAACACGTAAAACGGGACGCGTAAAAGAGTCCGTGGAAAAACAGGGGGGGAAAAGTTGGCGGAAGTTGGTCGGACTCGGTCGCGAACGAGTGGTCGTTCGGACGTTCGGGATGCGAAATCGCGTACCGGGATTATCCTTTGGCATCCTGGAATAGCTTACCAAGAGACAAAGACGGAGACATCGAAGTACGTTGGCAGAATGGATGTACCGGCGGAGGCAGAGTGGCCGGGGGTTGGGGCCTGCATTGCAGAAGCAGCGGTAGCAGCAACGGCAACGAGGAGGAAGAGGATCCTTTATGGCGTGGCATTCGTCGACTCGAAGGAGCGAGAACTCCAGCGGTGGGCTTCTCGCCTTCCTCCCCACCCACCCGCCACGTCCTTCCCATTCTCTGGCCCGCCACCCCCTTTATTGGCACACCCGGTATAATAAGGAGCGAGTTTGTATTTAGTCGGCCATGCGCAGTGCTGGCTGTTGGCGTATCATCGATCAGACCGGCGACTGACTATTGGACCAAAACAAGAGGATGAGAATGGGAATGGGAATAAAGAGAGAGGGACGGCCGATATATAAAGTGCGGCGGGACGAGCGAGGGGGTTGGCGGGAAGGGGCCCGGGAGGGAAGGATGGATGGAAAGAGAGGGAGGAGAGCAGCGAGTGGAGCAAGGGAAGCAGACGCAGTGCGCGATACCGACACGGAGAGAAGGACATCGATAGGAAGATCGAGGGAAAGACTCGGAGCGAGTACTACCAGCGGCGTCTAAGTTAAGACGGGTTAGTGTTGGTACAGAGGAGATACGAGGCGAAGCAAAGAGAGGGCGATGTCGGGGGCTGCACGGAGGTAGGAGAAGAGGGACCCGCGGTAACTCGCTATGGATTACCAATACAGCGATACAGGATACACGGTCGCGAAGTCAGGGATAGCCAACGATCAGACGAAAGAGAGTAAGCGAACACGGGGCGAAGGAGGCGGTGGAGCTGGAGGTGGAGGAAGTGGAGATGAACCGGTGGAAGAGAGAAGAGCGGAAGGAGAACGAGAAGAGGTTCGGCGAGATGGTAGGGGAGTATCGAGGAGGAGAAGGGAGGGAGAGACACCGATAGAGAGAACAAGTCGACGGCACCCACCTGCCTGCTTCTTGCTGCAACACTCGAGCTCGATGCCAGCACGATGTATTGAAACTGAGGCTGAAGAGTTGCCGTCAGGTACTAGCAGGACGAGGGTCCTCGAAGGTCTACCTAACCGAAAGCTTTTTGATTTTCCGCCGTGAAGAGAGGCAGCCAGGCAGCCAGGAATACCACGCACGATGGAAGAACGGCTGGCGAGATGGTAGGAGAGAGGCAGAGAGAGAGAGAGAGAGAGAGAGAGAGGGAGAGAGAGAGGAAGAGTGAGATAGGGAGGAGAAGAGGGAGAAAAGTGGTGAAAGGGAGAAACGAAATTGCCAACAAAACAGAAGAAAACGAGACCGTTATTTTTCTCTCAGGAGCACGGTCCACATTGTTTTTCGCAATTCGAGCATTCGCGTCCGATGGACGAGGTAAGAAGACCGCGATCTATCGGCGAATGCTTTCCACCTTGGAAACGTCGCCGCACGCTAACACCTATACACCGCCGTACAAGCTGATACTGTCCCAAGGATAATTGGAGATCTCGTTACTCCCCACCGGTAACATCAATTTACGATCGACCGATAATGAGATATCGAGTTCTGGTTCTCCCTCTTTCGCCACGCCGCACACCCACCGTCCCACGCGATCTCCCGAACCCCTGCTCGACGCCCGCATCGTCAAAGCTCGAACCGATGCCGGGACGTATTAGATGCCCGTTACGTGCTTATTAAACGCTTTCTTTCCCGTGTCTTCTTCCTCCCCTTTCATCTCCACCCCCGTCCCATTCCGCTCGGCCTGCTTGCCTGTCGCGTACGACGCGGAAAGACGATCGTGTTTCGACTTTGCAAGCGATCCTCGAGACACGAGTGTCATCGTGATCGCGCGACGGCTTTATTTCTTCGCGGGCAAATCTAGCGCGAGCGAAATAGAGATTGCTCGTACACGCGCGACGAGGGTCGCCGATCACCGTGACCAGCGATAAATCCTCCTTCGAATCGCGATTTATGGAAAATTCGTACAGATCGTTTGATACGATGCGCGATGATCGACGGCGCGAATAATGGCTCTCCGGGTTCCCACAAGAGCCAACCCGGGGAGCCGGTAAGCCAATTAATCTCTTCCAATAAGTAACGCGTGCGGTGGACCTGCGAAGTCGCATTAACCCCCGAAAAACGCATCACTTGTTTGCGGCATAATGCGCGAACAAGCATGTTGGACGGTGCCGGTTGGTCATCGGCCAGCAAATAGTTCGGTTAGCTGGGAGCATGGGGTTCGGGTATAGACCCCATGCTGCGAAGTGGCACGCGCCGGAACATCATTAGGTGGGACACTTGCTGGACGAAGGACCATGGGAAGGGTGCCGAACCTTAATCGTGACTTGGCCTCGACGACCGAAAAGGATCTCGAAACACGCTGAATTAATATCGAACGGATCTCGGTCACCACCGACGACCCATGATCGCTGAAATAATTGGCAATTTCCATCGGTGGTGTTCGCGACGAATTTTTCCATTTCGCGTGCGAGGGGTTACCTTCGGATTCATCATGTCGCTCGCACACACTCCGTTATCCCAAGTTAATTCTCCAGGTTAATTCGATTTCCCTCGATAGCGGGCATCGATTAGTCGATTATCCGAGAATCACCTGATTGGGGTGATCGATTCCGCGCAACGGGAAACCCGATCAAGTCGTTACGCTAACCAAACGTTATTATCCGAGTCTTATTGGACGTGGTTTACATCTAGCGAGCGAGTATTAACGCGAACCGCAATCGCGATGTCCTCTGTGTTTAATCGCGTAAGCACTCGCTACGCGGTCGCGAGTGTACGCGAGAGGGATGACGAGGATCAACGAGCGATCTGAATCTTCGACCGA